CCGTTATCAAATTTGCGGCAGTATATATAGACACCTGGCCGATGTTCAAGGAGAAGCATCGTCAGGCGTCGAGGGCCGGTCATTGCCTCCTAAGGCAAAAACACCGCGTATACATTTAGGCTGAGGCGAGCGTTTGACGGTCGGGCCAACGCACGTCGATCGTGTTATTGTCTTGCCGCCTCGCCGTTTATTCGACAAAAACGGCGAGACGGCGTACATCGAAAGTCGAACGTGCGTTGACCCGCGGTCCGCGATTCGGCCGGAACACAATAGTTCCACATTCTACTCCATTTCAAAAATCTGTGTAAGGTGGACGCCCTCAGAAAAGACTGAAAGAATCATTTATATGTTTCATCTAAGGAGGGTCGGGAGCATACACCCGCTGGCACCAGTCGGCGGGTTCGCTCTTTATATTATGAGCCATGTACCTTTGAAGGAGTACGATGACGAATTTTCTGGAACCGAAGCATATATGAACATCCCCATTACCATTCGCCAAAAAAAATTTTGGTATATAAAGCACCCAAACGCGACCAAAAGCGGGCCAGTACGTATATCGTTACAAGGTTATAAACATTCTCCGACTCAGTGCAACAAAGTGAGAGCGCGATCTAGAATCCGCGATACACTCACATACATGCAATCGTATATACCAAAGGCTTGTAATATACTATCTTTTACCAGTCTATTTATTTGTCAAATTCATTTATCCCACTTCCTGATTGAAAGCAGTAGTTGGTACAAACTTACATAGATATATAGTGGCCCATAAAAATGTTCGTACACCTTTTAAAACGCAATTACTTTTTCAAAACTGATCTAAATGACTTGAATTTTTTTAGACGACAGAGAGATTAGTCTACTAGGCGATGACGAAAAAGCTTTCTTTTAATTTTGCTATTACTTGCAATGAAAAGAAGAAATTAAAATCCCTCGATTTTTAACTTTTTTATCTGAGCCTATAACGAAAATTTAGAAAATATACTCTTGTAGATTTCGATAACTTATATGCGTGCTGAAAATTTGATCGACATCGGTTAACCCAGAGTCGAGCTACAGGCGTTGTAAGATTTTGAAAACTGCAGATTTCATACAGTTCTTGGTGAAAATCATGATAAAACTGCGATTTCTGCGATCTTTAATTT